GCTCACGCCTGTAATCCCAGCACTTTGGGAGGCTGAGGTGGGTGGATCACCTGAAGTCAGGAGCTCGAGATCAGTATGGCTGTGGTCAAACCCTCTATGTAATAAAAACACAAATTTAGCCGGGCGTCGTGATACACACCTGTAATCCCAGTTACTTGGGAGGCTGAGGCAGGAAAATCACTTGAACCTGAGAGGCGGAGATAACAGTGAGCCAAGATGATACCATTGCACTCCAGTCTGGGTGACAAGACCAAAACTCTGTGTCAAAAAAAGAAAAGTCAAAGCAGTGGAGGTGAAACTGAATCCCTACCAGGACCATGGCTGGAACCATGACCTTTGGGTCCCTTAAAAATGTTTTGGTCTTCTCCCCTCCCCCACTCCATCTCTCATGCCCTCCTTCCCCCCGTGTGTGGGATCAGTGGCGTGGCAGGGTCCCAGCCAGTGAGTGAGAAGCAGTCGGCAGCCGAGCTAGACCTCGTCCTGCAGCGACATCAGAACCTCCAGGAAAAGCTGGCAGAAGAGATGCTAGGACTGGCCCGGAGCCTCAAGACCAATACGCTGGCTGCCCAGAGTGTCATCAAGAAGGACAACCAGGTGTGGGGACCGGGGGCATCAGAGAAGGCTTCCCAGCACAGGAGCATGGTGGCAGGGGCTTTGAGGGATGAATAGGAGTTTTGGACAAGGCAAAAATGGCATTCCCAGCAGAGGGCACAGCATCAGCAAGCGACAAGAGGGCAGGCCTGCTCTAGGGAAGTAGAGATTGGCCATACTTGGCCCCAGTCCTGTTGACCCCCTTTTTACCTCACCCACAGACCCTGTCACACTCACTGAAAATGGCGGACCAGAACCTGGAGAAGCTGAAGACAGAGTCAGAGCGGCTGGAGCAGCACACGCAGAAGTCAGTCAACTGGCTGCTGTGGGCCATGCTCATTATCGTCTGCTTCATCTTCATTAGCATGATCCTCTTCATTCGAATCATGCCCAAACTCAAATAAACACCCCACCCACCTTGTCTGTCTTCTGTCTGTCCCCTGCCCCCACTCCAGCAGTGCTTTTTGGGCAGTGAGATTTGAGGGTCTTTGGAGGTCCCCGAAGAGCCACAGACGGTGCATGAGCAGGGGAAGAGCATCAGGGCCAGGTGTGTGTGGGGGCTCATGCCTGGAATCCTAGCAATCCCTAGGCAGGTGGATCACTTGAGGCCAGGAGTTCAAGACCAGCCTGGCCAACATGGCGAAACCCCATCTCTGCCAAAAAATACAAAAATTAGCCAGACGTGGTGGCACACGCCTGTAATCCCAGCTACTCAGGAGGCTTAGGCACTAGAATCGCTTGAACCCGGGAGGCAGAAGTTGCCGTGAACCAAGATTGTGTTGCTGCACTCCAGCCTGGGTGACAGAGCAAGACTCCGTCTCAAAAAAGAAAAAGTAGACTATAAGAAAGAGACTTAGCCAGGCATGGTGACGTCCACCTGTAATCCCAACTACTGGGGAAGCTGGGACAAGAGGACCCCTTGAGCCCAGGGATTGGAGGCTACAGTGAGCAGTGATCATGTCTGTGCACTCCAGCCTGGGTGACAGCGCGAAACCCCCTACTCAAAAAATAAATAAAAGGAAGTTTACGCCTGAGACACAACGATGATTCCTTATGACTCCTTAGGAGGCCACATTGCCCGGGTCACCGTGGCTCACACCTTGTAATGCTAGCACTGTGGGAGGCCAAGGCGGGAGGATAACTTGAGCTAAGGAGTTTGAGACATGGGCAACATGATAAAATCCCGTCTCTACAAAAAATACAAAAATTAGTGGGCATGGTGGTGCAGACTTTCGGTCCCAGCTGCTTGGGATGCTGAGGCAGAGGAATCATTTGAACCTGGGAGGCGGAGGCTGTGGTGAGCTGAGATCACGCCATTGCACTCCAGCCTGGGCGACAGGAAGGAAATTCTGTCTCCCCGCCACCGCCAAAAAAAAAAGCGAAGAAAAGAAAACAAAATCACATGCTGAAATGACACTTTGTACTGTTTTGCCTCCATTACTCAAAGTCTCCTAATTGAAAAAGAAAGAAAATAGATTATTTTCCTCACTTAAAAATCTCAAGCTGGCTGGGCGCAGTGGCTCATGCCTGTAATTCCAACACTTTGGGAGGCCGAGGTGGGTGGATCACGAGGTCAGGAGATCAAGACCATCCTGGCTAACACAGTGAAACCCTGTCTCTTAAAAAAAAAAAAAGAAAGAAAGAAAAAAATCTCAAGCCAAAGGCAGCATCAACTTTAATTGGCAAATACTCAAAATTTCTACCATCACAATGAGGAATAGGCCCAGTGCGGCTCATGCCACCTGTAATCCCAGCACTTTGGGAGGCCAAGGCAGGCAGATGAATTGAGGTCAGGAGTTTGAGATCAGCCTGACCAATATGGTGAAACCGCATCTCTACTAAAAAATACAAAAATTAGCTAGGCATGGTGGCACAGGCCTGTAATCCCAGCTACTTGGAAGACTGAGGCAGGAGAATTGCTTGAACCTGGGAGGCAGAGGTTGCAGTGAGCCGAGAGCATACCACTGCACCCCAGCCTGGGCAACACAGTGAGACTCTGTCTCAAAAAAAATAATAATAATAATCCAGGTGTGGTGGTGTGCACCTCTAGTTCCAATTATTCGGGAGGCTGCGGTAATGATCACTTAAGCCCAGGAGTTCAGGGCTGCAGTGAGCTATGATGGTGCCACTGCACTCCAGCCTGGGCACAGTGAGACCCCATCTCTAAAACAAACAAGAAGAAAGAAAGAAATCATATTTTAAAAAATAAGAAGGAAAAGAACAATAAACGAGAAGGCAAAATTATTTGCAGATGATATGACTGTATACACGATAGACCCAAGCAATGTGACTAAAGATATTTCAACAAGAGAACTCCATAAGCTAGCAAGAAACTTACAGATATTTAAAAATTCATTTCTTGTGTACTATATATGTATATAGCTGCAAAATGTTTTAAAGCATCCCATTTATAGCATCCATAAAAAAGGATACACTGCCTCGTTAAACTAATTTTCTTGACATTTGAAGAACTGTTTTTAGAGTCTTGTTCTGTCGCCCAGGCTGGAGTGATGAAGTGGTGCTATCATGCCTCACTGCAGCCTCCATCTCCCGGGTTCAAGTGATTCTCCTGCCTCAGCCTCCCAAGTAGTTTGGATTACAGGTGCATGCCACCACACCTGGCTGATTTTTGTATTTTTAGTAGAGACAGGGTTTCATCATGTTCGCCAGGCTGGTCTCGAATTCCTGACCTCAAGTGACCCACCCGCGTCCGCTTCCCAAAGTGCTGGGATTACAAGTGTAAGGCCACCTAGTCCAGCTGAGATTTGAAGAACGTCTAAAAGTCAACAAGAGTTGGGCACAGTGGCTCATGCCTGTAATCCCAGCACTTTGGGAGGCTGAGGCGGGCGGATCACCTGAGGTTGGGAGTTCAAGACCAGCCTGACCAACATGGAGAAACCCTGTCTCTACTAAAAAATACAAAATTAGCCAGACGTGATGGCCCATGTCTATAATCCCAGCTACTCGGGGGCTGAGGCAGGAGAATTGCTTGAACCCAGGAGGCAGGGGTTGCAGTGGGCCAAGATCACACCACTGCACTCCAGCCTGGGCAACAAGAGCAATACTCCGCCTAAAAAAAAAAAAAATTGCCGAGCACGATTACAGGATCATGCCACTAATCCCAGCACTGTGGGAGATTGCGGTGGGTGGATCACTGGAACTCAGGAGTTCAAGATCAGCCTGGGCAACATAGCCAGATCCCATCTCTATAAAAAATAGAAAATTTAGGGGGACATGGTGTCACCTGTGCTTCCAGCTACTTGGGAGGCTGAGGTGGAAGGATCAGTTGAGGCCAGGAAGAAGGTCGAGGCCACAGTGAGTAATGATCATGCTCTCCAGCTTGGGAAACACAGCCAGACCCTGCATCATAAAAAAAAAAAAAAAGGCCGATTTTGGGTGCACTGTCTATGAGTTAGCCATGCATGGCAAGTAAAAGACTGCTGTCTAGCCCAGTGCTGTAGCTCACGCCTGTAATCCCAGCTCTTAGGGAGGCAGAGGCGGAAGGAAAGCTTGAGCCCAGGAGTTTGAGACCTGCCTGGGCAATACAGTCAGACCCCACTCTCCACAAAAAGAATTAAAAAAAAAAAAAAAAAAACTGTCTAACACCACCTGCTCACCCTTAAAATAAATAAAGGAAAGAAAGGGGCCAGGCGCGGTGGCTCACACCTGTAATCCCAACACTTTGCGAGGCCGACGAGGCGGGCGGATCACTAGGGTCAGGAGTTTGAGACCAGCCTGGCCAACAGGCGAAACTCTGTCTCTACTAAAAATAAAAAAATAAAAAATAAATAAATTTAAAAATAGTTGGGTATGGTGGTGAGCGCCTGTAGTTTCCTGTAGTCCCAGCTACTCGGGAGGCTGAAACCGGAGAATCTCTTGAACCTGGGCGGCGGAGACTGCAGTGAGCAAAGATCATGCCACTGTACCCAGCCAGTCAGCTACTTTTTTTTTTTTTTGAGACGGAGTTTCGCTCTTGTTACCCAGGCTGGAGTGCAATGGCGCGATCTCGGCTCACCGCAACCTCCGCCTCCTGGGTTCAGGCAACTCTCCTGCCTCAGCCTCCTGAGTAGCTGGGATTACAGGCACGCGCCACCATGCCCAGCTAACGTTTTGTATTTTTAGTAGAGACGGGGTTTCACCATGTTGACCGGGATGGTCTCGATCTCTTGACCTCGTGATCCACCCGCTTCAGCCTCCCAAAGTGCTGGGGTTACAGGCTTGAGCCACCGCGCCCGGCCTAAACTTTTTTAAAAATATAATTGCTTAAAAAACAACGTTTACATTTGCAAAACCATCCCTTTTTTTCACACAAATAAACTTGAGGGGCGAGGTCGGGCTCGAACCTCTTCGAAGGTGTGCGGCCAAGCCCAGCCAGGCCGGCCCCGCCCTCGCGCCGTCAGGCCCTGCCCCTCTCGTCCGACCCCGCCCCGCCGCCCTACGGAGCGACCCCGCCAGTCGGGTCCAGCCTGCAGTTAACGCAAAACCGGGACGTCAGTGCCTCTCCGACAGCGGACCAAGGGTTGGAGCCCCAGACGCTGGGACAGGTGACCCGGGGCGGTAGCGAGCTGGGCGGCCTTGCAGGCGGGGCGGAGGTCCCGAGGAGCTCCTCGGGCGCGGTTGTCCGTGGTGGGCTCTTCGTGCCCCAGAGGGTGAGGCTCCGGCAGCGCAGGGGTTAACTCGAGACCGTTCTTCCGTGTGACGCAGTCGGGGGCGGGGTCTGGAAGTCGTTACGGACCAATCGCGTGCGTCTATGCAAAAACCGTAGACGGGGTGAGAGTGGGCAGCTCCCGGACCCGCCTCCCCACGCCTGTTTTGTCGGTGCGCGCCGCCAGGCCTGTCTTTTCCACGTGTCCACCCGCAGGCCGCCCGCAGACCACCCCCGCCGCGCGCGGGCCACGACGCCCCCCGCAGGACCCGCCCATCAGCCCGGAAACCCCTGAGCTGCGTCTCCCAGAGACCGATGCCCACCCGGGAGCCCCCCAAGACTCGCGGCTCCCGGGGGCACCTGCTGCAGACCTACCCGCCTGGGCCAGGGCCCCCGGTGAGCCTGACCAGGACGGGGTCCTGAGGCCAGGCCTCTAGGCGAAAGATTTAGTCTCCCCAGTTTGAGGGACTCCGCTTTCCCGACACCCCGATTTAACTCCAAACCACGACTCCTGTGGCAGCTGCAGGGACTGACGCCTCGAGGCCTCAAACCCGGCGGCCCCCGCCCTCCGTGCCAGCCCCAGCCGGGACCCCACAAGGCAAGACCGAAGACGATTGTGTTCGAGGACGAGCTGCTCTCCCAGGCCCTCCTGGGCGCCAGGAAGCCTATTGAAGCCATTGAAGCCATTCCTACGAGGCATATGCCTAGGCCCCACCCAGTGCCCGACTATGAGCTGTGAGTGTCCCCCAGGTGATTCTTCATGGCCTGGGATCAGGAGGGGGCACCAAGGCTGGGGCTTTGACAGTTGAATAAGAGTTTACCAAAGAGTAGCTGGACACAGTGGCTCAAGCCTGTAATCCCAGCACTTTGGGAGGCTGAGGTGGGTGGATTACTCACCTGAGGTTGGGAGTTTGAGACCAGCCCAACCAACGTGGAGAAGCCCCATCTCTACTAAAATTACAAAACGAGCTGGACCTAGTGGCACAGGCCTGTAATCCCAGCTACTCAGCAGGCTGAGGTAGGAGAATCGCTTGAACCTAGGAGGTGGAGGTTTTGGTGAGCCAAGATCTCACCATTGCACTCTAGGCTGGACAAGAAGAGCAAAACTGTCTCAAAAAAAAAAAAAAAAAAAGTTTAGCAAAGAGTAAAAAGAGAAAAGAATGTCTTGCTGATCAGTAGTGGGATTGCCCCCGTGAATAAGCCGTTGCACTCCAGCCTGGGCAACACAGCAAGATCCAGTCTCTGTAAATTAATTAATGTTAGTTAATTAGTTAAAAAAAATTTTTTTTTGAGACAGCATCTCCCTCTGTCACCAGGTGCCAGGCTGGAGTGCAGTGGCGCAATCTCAGCTCACTGCAACCTCCGCCTCCAAGGTTCAAGCAATTCTCCTGCCTCAGCCTCCCGAGTAGCTGGGACTACAGGCACGCGCCACCATGCCCAGCTAATTTTTGTTTGTTTTTTTTTTTGAGACAGAGTTTCACTCTTGTAACCCAGGCTGGAGTACAATGGCGCGATCTCGGCTCACCGCAACCTCCGCCTCCTGGGTTCAAGCAATTCTCCTGCCTCAGCCTCCTGAGTAGCTGGGATTACAGGCACGTGCCACCATGCCCAGCTTATTTTTTGTACTTTTTTAGTAGAGACGGGGTTTCACCATGTTGACCAGGATGGTCTCGATCTCTTGACCTCGTGATCCACCCGCCTCGGCCTCCCAAAGTGCTGGGATTACAGGCTTGAGCCACCGCGCCCGGCTGTATTTTTTAAGTAGAAACGGGGTTTCACTATGTTAGCCAGGATGGTCTCAATCTCTTGACCTCATGATCTGCCCGCCTCGGCCTCCCAAAGTGCTGGGATTTCAGGTGTGAGCCACCGCGCCCGGCCTATTAATAAAACATTTTTTAAAATAAGGCCAGACATGGTGGCTCACGCCTGTAATCCCAGCACTTTGAGGTGGCCGAGGCAGGTGGATCACGAGGTCAGGAGTTCGAAACCAGCCTGGCCAACATAGTGAACCTGTCTGTACTAAAAATGTAAAAATTAGCCGGGTGCAGTGATGGGTGCCTGTAATCCCAACTATTCAGGAGGCTGAGGCAGGAGAATCACTTGAACCTGGGACATGGAAGTTGCCGTGAGCCGAGATCATGCCACTGCACTCCAGCCTTGGCGTCAGCAAGATTCCATCTCAAAATATAAAAATAAATAAATAGGCTGGGTTTGGTGGCTCATACCTGTAATGCCAGCACTCTTTGGGAGGCCGAGGCAGGCGGATCACCTGAGGCCAGGAGTTTGAACCCAGCCTGTCCCACGTGGTGAAACCCCGTCTCTACTAAAAATGCAAAACAGTAACTGGGTGTGGTGGTGTGTGCCTGTGATCCCAGCTACTTTAGGATTTTTGAGACTCCATCTCAAAAAAATAACAAATAAAAAGAGGGAAAGAAAAGGGACATTTTTAGTAGGGGACTCAGCGTGGACAAAGAAAAGCCAATTACACTGACTGGGAGAGAGTGGGGTTCGTTACACTTACACGCTGACCCCCTTCAACCTGCTAGTAAGTACCCACCGGTGAGCAGCGCAAGGGCACGGAGCCGATACGCCGCAGTGTTCCAGGACCAGTACGGAGAGTACTTGGAGCTCCAGCGGGAGGTGGGGTGCGCACAGGCAAAGCTCAGGCAGCTGGAGGCCCAGCTGCGCTCCCTGCCGCCACCCCAAAGCCAGGTCAGCGCTGGGGAGAAAGCCCTGCCCCGCAGCCCTTATGAGTGGCCCGACCTAAGCCTCTGGGATACCCACTGAGTCCAGATCTCCAGGACTCTCTCTCCTCTAGGCTGGCTGGGTGCCATGACACATGGCTAAGGTCAGCCCTTGAAGTCCCCACTAGATGGGCATTTAGTCTGTCTAAGCCTCAGTTTCCCTATCCCTCCTTGAGTTCAATTCTCCCTAAACCCCCTCTCCTCCTCCTCTTGCAGAAGGAGGCCCAAGTTGCAGCCCGAGTTTGGAGGGAGTTTGAGAAGAAGCAAACGGTGAGTCTTGCATCCCCTGACACTCCCGTGAGGCCCAGTTTTTTTTTTTTTTTTTTCGAGACAGAGTCTCGCTCTGTCACCCAGGCTGGAGTGCAGTGGCAGATCTCGGCTCGCTGCAGCCTTCACCTGGGTTCAAGCGATTCTCCTGCCTCAGCCTCCTGAGTAGCTGAGACTACAGGTACATACCACCACCTGTAGTGGCTAAATTTTTGTATTTAGTAGAGACTGGGTTTCGTCATGTTGGCCAGCGTGGTCTTGATTTCCTGACCTCATGATCCGCCTACCTTGGCCTCCCAAAGTGCTGGGATTACAGACATGAACCACTGCGCCCGGCCAGTTTCTTTTTCCTTTTCGAGACAGTCTTTCTCTGTCTGGAGTGCAGTGGCTTGATCTCAGCCCACTGCAACCTCTGCCTCCCACATTGAAGTGATTCTTCTGCCTCGCCTCCTGAGTAGCTGGGATCGCAGTTACCCACCACTACACCTGGCTAATTTTTGTATTTTTAGTAGAGACGGGGTTTCACCGTGTTGGCCAGGCTGGTCTCAAACTCCTGGCCTCAAGTGATCCGCCCACCTTGGCCTCCCAGGCTGCTGGGATTATAGGCGAGAGCCACCTCACCCGGCTCACCTGGCTGCCTGTGCCCAGTTTCAAGGAGAAACACTGAGGTTCTGAGAATGAAACGCAGAGGCTTGAGCAGCTGGAAGGCCACAGGGCAGACTGCTGCAAGGACTTCAGGTTGGGTTCTCGCCCTGCCTAGGACCCTGGTTTCCTGGACAAGCAGGCTCGCTGCCACTACCTGAAGGGTAAACTGAGGCATCTCAAGACCCAGATCCAGAAGTTCGATGACCGAGGAGACAGCGAGGGCTCTGTGTACTTCTGAGTGCTCCTACAGACAGGCAGAGGGACACGTGGGGATGCAGGTCCCTGGCTTTTCTTGGTATCTCTCAGCCTTTCCTCTTGCAGTTCCCCCTACCAGGGGTAGCTTTCTCCACAACTGCAAATGCCTCTTCATTTTGGACTCAGCTTTGACAGCCCCTCCGCCAGGCAGGCCTCCCAGGACTTCCTCCTCTAGGACTCTCGCTCTGACCCTACAGGGACTCCAGATCTCAACCTGTTCCCTGGAAGTAGGTCCTGCTCTCCATTTCAGTGAAATAAACATGTATTAGACACCTACTGAGTATATAGTTGCTTAACACTTCTGATTGCGCTCATTTGTGACACACACACAAGTTGTTTATTTATCCATTCTGAGACGGAGTTTCGCTCTTGTTGCCCAGGCTGGAGTACAATGGCGCGATCTCGGCTCACTGCAACCTCCACCTCCCAAGTTCAAGCAATTCTCCTGCCTCAGCCTCCCGAGTAGCTGGGATTACAGGTATGCGCCACCACACCTGGCTAATTTTGTATTTTTTTTTAATTAATTAATTAATTAATTTATTTATTTATTTTTGAGACGGAGTTTCGCTCTTGTTACCCAGGCTGGAGTGCAATGGCGCGATCTCGGCTCACCGCAACCTCCGCCTCCTGGGTTCAGGCAATTCTCCTGCCTCAGCCTCCTGAGTAGCTGGGATTACAGGCACGCGCCACCATGCCCAGCTAATTTTTTGTGTTTTTAGTAGAGACGGGGTTTCACCATGTTGACCAGGATGGTCTCGATCTCTTGACCTCGTGATCCACTCGCCTCGGCCTCCCAAAGTGCTGGGATTACAGGCTTGAGCCACCGCGCCCGGCCCAATTTTGTATTTTAGTAGAGATGGGGTTTCTTCATGTTGGTCAGGCTGGTCTCCTGACATTGTGATCTGCCCGCCTCAGCCTCTCAAAGTGCTGGGATTACAAGCGTGAGCCACCACGCCCAGCTGTTTTTTTTTGTTTGAGACTGTGCCGCACTCTGTCACCCAGGCGGCAGTGCGGTGGCGTGATCATGGCTTGCTGCAGCCTCCACCTCTCAGACTCAAGCAGTCTTCCCACTTCAGCCTCCTGAGTAGCTGGGACCACAGACATGTACCATGACACCCGGTTAATTTTGCTTATGTTTTGTAGAGATGGGGTCTCTCTCTGGTCTCAAACTCCTGGGCTCAAGCGATCCTCCTGCCTTGGCCCCCCCAAGTACTGGATCACAGGCATGAGCCACTGCGCCCAGCCGGATTCCTCCATTCTCCCCGTCTCCCTGGCACTTCAGGACAGCAACTGACGCCAGGCACTGTGTGGGCACGGTTCATATGCCTGGCCTGGGGGGAGGGTCTTCCAGTGCTCGACCCATGCCAGGCCCTGAAACAGATTTTTAGTTCCATGTGAGAAAAAAAAAAAATGGACGTCAGTTTGACTCAGGCAGGAAAGGGGGACGTCTGAGTTCATAGAACTTAAAACACCCAAGGGTTTCAGGTATGGCTTGATCCACGGGCTCCAAAGGCATCTTGGGAAATTGATCTTCCATCCTTGGCTCTGCTTTAATTAGATCCTCCCAGTTCCAGATCCTGCTGTAGAATCTCACTGGCTGGTTTGGAATCCCAAGCCCATCATAAACCAATTGCTGTGGCCCAGGGAATGGTGGGCTCTGATTGGCTGGGCTGAGATCATGTGACAGGACTGGCCCCCAGAGGTTTCTCCCACAGACACTGGAGTCCAAACCATGAGCCGGGGCAGTGGCTCATGCCTATAATCGCACTGAGAGGCTGAGGCAGGTGGATCACCTGTCAGGAGTTCCGAGACCACCCTGGCCAACATGGCAAAACCCCATCTCTACTGAAAGTACAAAAATCAGCTGGGCGTGGTGGTGTGCATCTGTAATGCCAACTACTCAGGAGGCTGGGGCAGGAAGTAGAGGTTGCAGTGAGCCAAGATTGGACGGTTGCATTCCAGCTCAGGTGAAAGAGCAAAACTCCATCTCAAAGAAAGAAAAAAAAAATTAAGTTCTGACCAAAGAAAATAATTAAGGCTAGGCAAGGTGGCTCCCGCCTGTAATCCCTGCACTTTCCGAGGCTGTGGGGACGGATCACCTGAGGTTAGGAGTTCAATACCAACGTGGTCAATATGGTGAAACCCCATCTCTACCAAAAATGCAAAAAAACTAGCCAGGTGTGGGGGTGGGTGCCTGTAGTTTCAGCTACTGGGGAGGCTGAGGCAGGAGAATTGCTTGAACCTATGAGGCGAAGGTTGCAGTGAGCCGAAACCACACCACTCACACCGCTGCACTCCAGCCTGGGCGATGGAGTAGGACTCTGTCTCAAAAAAAAAAAAAAAAAAGACCAGGGAGGCCGCGCAGGTAGGAAATGTCTTTATTCTTGGCTTTGATTGAGTCATCATGTAGTGTCTGACGTAGATTACACGTTCAAAGGATCTGGCCTGGCACACGCTAGCTACCCCTGCCTGCTGGAGTGGCCCCTCTGGTCCAGACGCCAGGCCTTTGTCCATCACGCCAGGGAAGCCGCCCCCACCATCCCGTTAAGTTCATGCTCCATCCGGGCCAGGGGTCCTGGGAGGACGAGGCTGAGACCTGGATCACCAGTCTCTTTTTGGTTTCATGATCATTTAAAAAAGCAGAAAAGACAAACATTTCACAGTCTTTACAAAACAGAAGTCTGAGGAGAGAAGCCAGGGTCCTGGGTCCCAGGAGGCCCCTCGAGGCCTCAGCGTTCCCTGTCCCTTGAGGTCTGTCTGCAGGCCTGGCCACGGCGCACGTGGCCCCGTCGTGGTCACTGGCCTGAGCCGTAGGGCCAGTTGAAGGTACTCCCCGACAGCAGCATGTCTCTGATCAGCGTCTCGATGGGCGTCTTCCCCACCAGGCGCATGAAGAACAGCTGGGAGATGAGGGAGGCAGGGACGGCGCGCAGGGCGGGGAGCCGCAGCAGCAGGCGCCCAAAGCGCTGGGGCTGGGACGGGTACTGCGCCCGCACGTACTCGGTGAGGGCCACCTGTGCCTTCTCCTGCAGACTCTCCACGTGGGCCGGGTCCGAGAGGCCACAGGCGTCTGGGGGAACAGAGGGAAGTCAGACGGGGTGGGAGGCAGCGGGAGAACACAGGGCCCACAGGGGTGGCTAGGGGACACCAATCGCAACTGTGGGTAAGAACGCCGGGCGTGATGGCTCACACCCACAGTCCAAGCACTCTGGGAAGCCAAGGCAGTAGCATCATGTAAAGCCAGGATTTGAGACCAGCCTGGGCAACATAGTGAGATCCTGTCTCTGCAAAAACAAATTAGCTGGGGCCAAGCACAGTAACTCATGCCTATAATCCCGGCACTTTAGGAGGCTGAGGCAGGTGGATCACTTGAGTTTAGAAGTTCAAGACCAGCCTGGCCAACATGATGAAACTCCATCTCTACTAAAAATAAGAGTAGCCAGGCGTGTTGATGCACACCTGTAGTCCCAGCGACTCGGGAGGCTGATGGGAGGATCACTTGAGCCTGGGAGGCGGAGGCTGCAATGAGCTGGGATCATGCCACTGCACGTGGGCAACAGAGGGAGACTCTGTCTCAAAATAAATATACAAATAAAAAATAGCCAGTTACCCTCACGCCTGTAATCCCAGCATTTTGGAAGGCCGAGGCAGGCGGATTGCCTGAGGTTGGGAGTTCGAGACCAGCCTGGCCAGCATGGTGAAACCCCATCTCTACTAAAAAAAATATAAAACTTAGCCAGGTGTGGTGGCAGGTGCCTGTAATCCCAGCTACTAGGGAAGCTGAGGCAGGAGAATCGCTTGAACCCAGAAGTCGGAGGTTGCAGTGAGCCACAATAGAACCACTGCACTCCAGCCTGGGCAACAAGAGCGAGACTCCATCTCAAAAATAATAATTAAAAAAAAAAGCCGGGGCCGGGCGCAGTGGCTCAAGCCTGTCATCCCAGCACTTTGGGAGGCTGAGGCGGGTGGATCACGAGGTCAAGAGATCGAGACCATCCTGGTCAACATGGTGAAACCCCGTCTGTACTAAAAATACAAAAAATTATTAGCTGGGCATGGTGGCGTGTGCCTGTAATCCCAGCTACTCGGGAGGCTGAGGCAGGAGAATTGCCTGAGCCCAGGAGGCGGAGGTTGCGGTGAGCCGAGATCGCGCCATTGCACTCCAGCCTGGGTAACAAGAGCGACACTCCGTCTCTAAATAAATAAATAAATAAAAATTAGCCCGGTATGATGGGCTGTGCCTGCAGCCCCAACTACTCAGGGAGGAGGCTGAGGCGGGAGGTTCTCTCGAGGCCAGGAGTTTGAGGCCACAGTGATCCGTGATCATAGCACAGCCTGGGCAACAGAGTAATAAGACCCTGTCTCAAAAAAAAAAAAGAAAAAAAAAAAAACGCTTAAACATAAGACCTAACACCATAAAAAGCCGGGGTGCGGGGCGGCCGAGAACAGGAAACAGGAAGGGGGTGATGGTACCTTGAAATGCAAATGGGAGAATCTAAGGCAGTGCCATTCCTCCAGAGACAGTGAGGTGGTCTCACCTACCCACGGTGGCACAGGGGTGCAGGCAGATGATCTTTCAAGGGTGGTTGGTGCCCAACTGATGCCTTTGGCAGGGAGATAGGTTCTATTTTTTTTTTTTTTTTAAGTGTCACTCTGTCTCCCAGGCTGAAGTACAATGGCACAATCTCAGCTCACCGCAACCTCCGCCTCTGGGTTCAAGTGATTCTCCTGCCTCAGCCTCCTGAGTAGCTGGGATTACAGGCACGTGCCACCATGCCCAGCTAATTTTTGTATTTTTAGTAGAGACGGGTTTTGCTATGTTGGCCAGGCTGGTCTTGAACTTCTGACCTCGGCCTCCCAAAGCGCTGGGATTTTAGGTGTCAGCCACCTCACCCAGTCAAGGAGACAGGTTTTAAGGAAGCTTGCAGGGAAAGTGGGGCTGGGAAGGGAATTTGAGGAGGACGACAGAGCCCAGAAGGGCCTGTGCTGTGAGAGAATGTGGCAGTGTCTAGAGAGAGGCCCAAGAAGATGGGAACCCCAGAAAAAATCTGGGAAAACAATAAATAAAGCCGTATTTACTGATTTTTGAGACGTGGTCTCACTCTGTTGCGCAGGCTGGAATGCAGTGGCGTAATCAGAGCTCACTGCAACCTTGAACTCAAGCGATTCTCCCAACTGCTTCCCAAAGTGCCTTGACTGCAGGCCTGAGCAGCCTTGCAGGCCGTATTTATCAGATGAAAGCACCTCCCAGAGTAGCCTGGGTCTGCTTCCGAGCC